TTGTTGCTTTGCAGCCTGAAATGAAGACGGACACAGTTTTTGTTTTATCCAGCTGTATTTACTCAATGCATCTTAAAACATCCAAGTGAAAGATATAACACCAACATGCCATAAAAAAATAAAAAACAGAATCACTGTTGAGTTGGAAAAAAACGATCACCCCCTTGTGTCAGTATTTTGTTGAACCACCTTTTGCTTTAATTACAGCCTTTAGTCTGTTGGGATATGTCTCTATTAACTTTGCACATCTAGACTTTGCAATATTTGTCCACTCTTCTTTGCAGAACTGCTCAAGTTCAGTTAAACTTGATGGTGTTCGCTTGTGGACTGCAGTCTTCAAGCCATTCCACAGATTTTCAATGAGGTTTAAGTCTGGGATCTTACTAGGCCATGCGAGGACATTCAACTTTTTCTCCTTTTTCTCCCTGTGTGGTCAGTTTTGCTGTGTGCTTTGGGTCATTGTCATGTTGGAAGGTAAACCTTCTTCCCATTGACAACTTTCTCAAGAATTTGATGCTATTTTGCCCCATCCATTTTTCCTTCTATTCTAACAAGTGCTCCAGTCCCTGTTGCAGAGAAACACCCCCATAACAGGATATTACCCCCTCCATGCTTCACCAGACATCGTTTGGTGTTGAGGCCAAATAATAACATTTTTGTCTCATCTGCCTCAGAATCTTCAAGGTGCATTTTGGCAAAGCTCAGTCGTGACTGCATGTGGCCTTTCTTGAAGAGTGGCTTTTTTCTTTCAACCCTCCCATACAAGCCACATTTGTGGACAGTTTGTGATATTGTGTGTCACATGCACACAATGACCACTCTTTTGCTGCTGCAAGTTGCTGTAGGCCTCTTGGTAGCCTCTCTCACCAGATTCCTTCTGGCTCTTTCATCCAGTTTGGAGCGACATCCTGATCCAAGGAGGGTCTGTGTCAAATGCCTTTGTGTGCCATTGAGAAGGTGGCCATATGTGATATTTATACGGGACACGTCCTGGCCATGATTTTTATATTGCCTAAAACATCCAAAGTAGTTTGACCAATAACATGCAGGTATTGTACATAATTGACCAATCATGGCGCGTTGTGCATGAAAAGGTGAGAACGATCAAAGCGATGCAAATACGCGCACGTGTTTGTTCGTTCGTTCGACTTGAAGCTGTGCACCGATCATTTTATGACACCAAAGTACCGCGAGAGCAATTTGAAAGCATAAGGAGCCGTCTGCTCTGCTCTCTATAGCTCTCGTGAAATAATGTCATGCAACAATCGATCTGCACAGTGCTAACAGCCAAAAGCTGGATATTTTAGGCAATATAGAAATCCTGGCAAGGGTGCGTCCCGTAAAAATGGTCACCCTAGATTAGCTACACCTGATTGAGTTTACAAGTCATATTTAGGTGATTACAAGTCATAGAAGTCAGTGACTGTTTTTTTTTTTTTTTTTTTTTTTTTTCATGGTGTTTCTTAAGGAAAATCTGCTGCCCTCTGCCAGAAAGTTGTCAATGGGAAGAGGGTTTATCTTCCAACATGACGATGACCCAAAGCACACAGCAAAACTGACCACAAAGTGGTAGAAGGAGAAAAAGGTCAATCTCCTTGCATGGCCTAATCTGTGCCCAGACCATTGAAAATCTGTGGAATGTCTTGAAGACTGCAGTCCACAAATGGTCACCATCAAATTTAACTGAACTTGAGCAGTTCTGCAAAGAAGAATGGGCAATTATTGCAAAGTCTTGATGTACAAAGTTATTGGAGACATATCCCAACAGACTAAAGTCTGTAATTAAAGCAAAAGGTGGTTCAACAAAATACTGAAACATGTTGGTGTTATATCTTTCACTTGGCTGTTATAAGTTGCATTGAGTAAATAGAGCTGGATAAAACAAAAACTGTGTCCACCTTCATTTCAGGCTGCAAATCAACAAAATTTGATTATTTTAATGGGGGTGATTCTTTTCTACCCACTGTATGCAAATTGGGACACAACTATTCTGACAGTCTCAGTGAAAAAAATCAATCTAAGAAGTGATAAGTAGAGAAATGTTGATTATTAAAGGGGTCATGAACTGAGAAATCAAAATTCCCTTGATCTTTTGACATATAACAGGTCAATGTTCTCGTACTTTCTCCTAAAAACAGCTTATATTGAAACCAATCTGCCAAAACGACAGGTTGTGGAATGTGCCACAGTATTACACAATAGTGTGGCTAAACACTGCCTCCGCAGAAGATCAACGCCTGCTTCTACATCACTGCCTGTTTAACCCACCGATTTGCGCATGTAATTTGCTCCGAAGAAAACAAGAAGCTGTTCAGTGCCAAGTTGTGGAAAAACACAGTCTTTGCATTGTCTTCCTTCTGATCTCAACATTAGGAAAGAGTGGATGAACTTTACTTTCTACGCGTCAGTAAGAACTTGGTCCTTTGTTCCCTTCATTTCGCCGCGGATTCGTTTACAAACAAGGCACAACTCGATGCAGGATTTTCAGAAAGGTTGAAACTAAAAGACGATGCTGTGCCGACTAAATTGGATCTGACAGTAATGTCACACCGCACAAGTGTGAGTAACTGTTTTTATTACGTGGTCACTATTGCTTTCTATGTTATTACAGATCGTTTGATATGTACTGAGTATTTATGTGTTTTTAACCTATATCACAGCGTCCATCAGTGTACGATTTAGACTGTCAAACATACACACCTGTTAGCCAATCATAGCAGTGGGCGTTTACCTCCGAGTCTACAATCCGCCACACCTATTCAAACAGAGCGGTCCATGAGGGGGGTCAAAACAGGACAGAAAATAGCCTATTACTTCTAAAAAAAATTTTTTTTAAGTAAAAATCTTAACATTGTAAGTGGACCTCAGAGAACAGTACAAAATAATAAAAAAAAGGCAGTTCATGACCCCTTTAATATAAAATTAGCAAGTCATTAAATTTTGTAAAGTACTAAAAAAGTTCAATCTACTTAAAAACTGACTATTTTACCCATATATTTATGTGTGCTATGTATTTTATCATATCCAGTATCACATGGTTAGCTTAGCAACATGCTAACTGAAACAAGTTGTGAAACAAACGTTGCGTGAGATGTGCTATTTGTGTTCCAGATCAATCCATTTTATGTTGGGATGATGCCTATGTAGACAGTACAGAGCAAGAAAGAAAAAGTTTTAAAACAGAGCTCATGAGTGTATTGTTTTCAACAGGCCGTTGAATTTGAGAAAAGTTGTTTAGCACATGTTTGTACTTGCATCAAATCCAGGATATCAAGGTGATAAACATGTTAAATGAGTAACTCTGACCTGTGTGTGTGCGTGTGTGTGTGTGTGTGTGTGTGTGTGTGTGCTCCACTGTAAGCAGCTTATTGTAGTAAGAGTGCTGCTGTCATAGGAATGTTTCTGCATGCTTGCATTAGCATGGTATACTATGTACTGCAGATTTCACTACCTTAATTTTGTAAGGAAACACTATAACTCTCTCCATCCTGTCTCTGCTTATTTTTCTTTTCCGAAAGAGTTTCACAAACACTACCTTCTAAGACATCCTCTCCAGTCCATTTCCCAGAATGCACTGCCCTTATCTCAAGACACGATTGGGCTCAGTTAAAGGCACGTCATTGTTCTGTACAGACAGGCAGTGTTCCTTTTACACAGAGATAAGACATAAGGATTACACCTCCTCGCCCAAAGCTTTGTAGTGTTTGGTTTGACTGTGTTCCCTTCACATTGTATTAGGCAGGGTGTTGCTTTGCACTGTCAAACTGTTTGTGTCCCATTAGCCACAAACAATAATTATCAAGGATTTTGTGTAACAAAATACACCACTCCACCTTATTGCAGTTGACCAGCATTGTAAGGTCAGCGACTGTCGTGACTAGATGCTGTTCCAGGTGTAAGCAGTTTGACACTGAATGAGAGCCAAGAATTCTAACTGTGTTTGGCCACTGTACACAGACAATCTCAATTCATGCCCAGTTCACACTAGTTTTGTACGTAATTGCTCCATTGATAGGTTAATAAAATATACATAGCAATATCAGTCTGTTTAACTACCTGTTGCAGTGGGTGATTCAAATAATTTCTTGTCTACAAGTACATGAATAGCATGTGAAAGAAAAAGGACAAACCGGAACTCTGAAGTGCAAATCATGAAGCAGTATTTTTGCATGTCTTGCAAGTTCTCAAAAGTGCAAGACTCAAAGTTAACTTGCACACTCAGGTTTCTTGCGTCCCTCTGATTTTATAACCAAATATGTCTGTCACATGCTATCAGAAGACTGTGCATGTGACCATGTTATTTAGCACATGAAATTTATCAACAAAAGTTTAAATAAGTAACAATGTATATGAATGTATAAGAAAACATATTTTACATGCTCTAACTGGTTACTTTTTTGTCCTAATGTTTAATCACCTTTTAATCAAAAAAAAAAGTACAAATATTCCATGTAATCTCTTTAAAATCATGAGGTAAAAAATCACTGCTTGAAAGTTTCCAGTAGTGATGCTAGCAATGCCTCAGTCGTAGATTTGAAATATGAATACATATACTGAGTTGCTTTGAATAAAAACATCTGCCAAATCAATAAATGTAAAGGTAAAATTTCCTATTATAATTATTTTGCATCGACTTTAACCTTATTTCACCTGTCTATCTGTCTCAGATGTCGCAGTGCATTCCAATGTTTATATATAATAAAAAGGTCTATTCCGAGTTTATAATTTGTGTGTCTGATGAATTCCTCATAGCTGAAAGCATTATTTTATAATCCTTTGGCATTCTAGACTGCTCAAACTGCATGGTGCCATTAATCTCACCAAAGGCTCATAATGTGTGTGTGTGACCAGCCTTGTAACCTCAATGTCTTTGTGTTTCAGTGCTGCTGACTTGGGTGAATTGCGCTAGTGTGCGCTGGGCAACACGAGTACAGGATGTCTTCACTGCAGGAAAACTTCTGGCCCTCATTCTTATCATCATCATGGGCATCGTACAAATCTGCAAGGGTAGGCACCATATGTCTATGTATGTGTGTGTGCTTGTAATATATTACTGGCTATTCAAGAAGGTCTGTGCTAAATAACAGAGAGTGTGTGTGTGCATGTGTTTGTAGCTACGTGCCATGCATGTTCTTGTGTGTACATTTGTAGAAGTGTGCATGCGTGACTCCCCGTTCTCTTGGGCATGTTGCTTCAGCTCTAGTAGCTCTGTAAATTCTCCAGAAAAACTAAAAGCACAGCACTTCACCTCTCTGTCTCGTTGTCTCAGCAGAAGTCACTGGGTTGAAACCTCTAATAAAGAATAACACTGATAATGCAGCTTTCACAGCTGGTGCGTCAGAAAGGATTCAATAATGATCACACTGCTGACAGCCTGTTAGCTCAGACACTGACCTGATAATATTAGAGTGACAGATGTGATTCCATGCAGAATCTCTAAAAAAAACTGGATTTGGGTTAGTTGACACTGGCTGCTCTTTAATGTGGGGTCTTCAGGGTCACATATGCTCTCAGAGAGAGTTCAGAGAGTACATGTGACCCAAAGACCTGACCCTAGAAATGTGGTATTCATACTATGGCTTAGGGAACAAAATGATTGTAGGCTCAAAAAAACCCAGCCCAAACCAGTTAAAAGTTGTAGTTGTATTTTGGAACATGGTAGCTTGTTTCTAACTTGTTCAAGCTGCTTTAGGTGGATTACTAGCTGGTGGGAATCTGTCAAAGAGGGTAGACCATATTGATCAAAGGCCCCTTGCTGGAAAAATCACATCATGGTACCAGGTTTTTTAATGCTCTACAGTTTAGACAGGTTACTACCAGCTTGATCTAGCTGATTTTTTTCTGGATTTGCATAAACTTACTATGTTACTACGATCACAATGCCATTTTGGTCCTTGATCAGGGAACTTGACCTTCATTTGCTGTTTTTGTGATTACTTTAAGCTGTTTCGGGTGAAAGCTTTTTCTAAAAAATTTACTAACTAGCTAATAAACAAGAGGCATTGTATAACAAATTTCCCTTTTAATATTTGTTCATTATTGTTCCCTTTCTTCTTTCTCCAGGCGAGTATTACTGGTTGGAGCCGGCCAATGCTTTCGAGCCTTTTCAAGACTATGATGTCGGTCTGATCGCTTTAGCATTTCTACAGGGGTCCTTCGCCTACGGTGGCTGGAATTTCCTCAATTATGTCACAGAGGAACTCGTCGACCCATATGTGTAAGCCAATTCTCATCTCATCAAGAGCTTACAATAATTTAATACTGGGTTTTCAATATTTAATTAGTGTTTTTTCAAAAAATACAAGTTTGTAATATCCAGCAGAGAACCACATAACGGATCAATTGTTAGAATGGTAGAAAGAGCCAAACGGATCATTGCATAATTTTACACAATGCTCTGAAGTGGCAGCTGGAATCCTATAGTTGTATTAGCTGAAATAATGCATTGTACTTCCTCTGAATGAACTCTTGATTTTAATTTTTCCAAACAGGAACCTTCCCCGTGCTATCTTCATCTCCATTCCCCTCGTGACCTTTGTGTACGTTTTTGCTAACATTGCTTATGTCACTGCCATGAGCCCTCAGGAGCTGCTGGCTTCTAATGCTGTAGCTGTGGTGAGTGACCTGTGTCCATTCTTAGCACTCAGACACTACCAGACTGCAAACTGAACATTGTTTTGCTTTATGCAGGAGATTCTTTGACATATCTACCCAAGTATCAATATTTAAAGTTCTATGATTGATACTTGGAATGAGCTCTTGATGCCTGCCAATATACCATTCAAACAGATATATCAGACTCCAGAATCTTCTGCATTCTATTCTAATGACTTTCTGAAGGAAACAGCACAGATATATGGACATGATAATGCATGTATTCGACCAATGTCCTCTTTTCCTCTGCTTGTCTCTCTTTTCTTTCCTTCATCACTCTGTTGCTCTCTCCCAGACGTTTGGTGAGAAGCTGTTGGGAGTGATGTCATGGATCATGCCCATCTCTGTGGCCTTGTCCACATTTGGGGGGGTCAACGGCTCCCTCTTCACCTCCTCTCGGTCAGTCCCTCCATCCATCCATTCATCCATCCATCCATCCATCCATCCATCCATTCATCCATCCATGCATTATTCATACACAAGACTCATATATCTATCTATCTATCTATCTATCTATCTATCTGTGTCTGTCTGTCTGTCCTTCTATCTCGTTTCCGTCTGTCTGTGTCTGCACATACTCCCTTTTATTGAATATATTGGCATCCTAAATAACAGTATTTTTGGTTCGTCCTCACATTGTTCAGGTTGTTCTTCGCGGGTGCACGTGAAGGTCATCTACCTAGCTTACTGGCGATGATTCATGTGAAGCGCTGCACCCCAATTCCAGCCCTACTCTTCACTGTGAGTATTATATATACCCCCCTCTCCCTCTTCTTTATACCTCACTCTTACTTTTGTTGAGCTTGAATGGACTTCATGATGTGACATCAAACACTCTCTCTTGCAGTGCATCTCAACACTTCTGATGCTATGTACCAGTGACATGTACACACTCATCAACTATGTGGGTTTCATCAACTACCTCTTCTACGGTGTCACTGTTGCGGGGCAGATTGTGCTGAGGGTTAAACAACCAGATATGCACCGGCCAATTAAAGTAAGTGCTGAGAATTACTGAAACCCAGTGTTAAAAAAAAAACATATTGTAAAAATCAGTATCAGTTTTTGCTCAGTGATCTTAATGTGATTGTCCAGTTCCAGGTACTCTGTCTATACGTCCCATATAAGCTGAAACCTTAAGATAATTTTTCCTTCTTACTGCTAACGTTACTTCTGCTACTCACAGATCAGTCTGGTGTGGCCTGTCATCTACCTGCTGTTCTGGGCCTTCCTGCTGATCTTCTCTCTGTACTCGGAGCCTGTGGTGTGTGGCATTGGCTTGGCCATCATGCTTACTGGAGTCCCTGTCTATTTCTTGGGCGTGTACTGGGACAACAAACCCCAGTGTTTCAATACATTTGTTGGTAAGTTGAACACGATGTTCAAAGATGTGTTAAGCTTAACGATAACATCACTATATTACATCTGTTGAGAAACTATGTACCTCACACTCAAGAAATTAATACTTTTATACAGCAAGGATGCATTAAACTGATCAAAAGTGACAGTATTTATAATGAAAAGATTTATATTTCAAAAAACTGGTTTTGAACTTTCTATTCATCAAAAAATCTTGAAAAAAGGTATGGCACATAAACTGAATTCTTTGTGTTTTCAGACAAGATGACATACCTGGGTCAGAAGTTTTGTGTAGTGGTCTACCCGGTGGAGGATGAGAAGAAAAACGAGGAGTCTGGAGAAGAGATCGAACTGAAGGAGCAGTCGGTTCCACTGTCAGCAGAGGATGAGCAGACACCAAAATCAGCTGACTGCTGAACAGACATGTTTAGACACACTCATTCACTCACATACAGGCAGCCAGACTTATTCAGATAGACACTGGAAATCAAACTCAGATTTTTCACATACCTCTATATTTTGCCTTTTCATAAAGAGGGGGTTGCACAGAGTAATGAACAGAGACTAGCTGCTCCACAGGTCATGTGGTTCTGCTTTAGTAGTCTTTTACAACATTCTCCGTTATCTCTAGTTGCTAGTCCCTTAGCAACTGCCTTCTACTCCATTTAATTACAACATTAAAATGTGGGATGACATAAAGCTCTAGAATGTATTACTTATAAACACTGGTTTGGAAGGGTCTGCATTTTTTACAATAACCTTTCTGAAATATTCGTTTCTATGAGAAACAGAGAATTAGAATTCTGTTTAGTTTATGCTAAAAATGCCAAAATACATCATGGCTTCGCCTGAGATGGCAGGGTTCATTTTATTTATTTATTTATTATCGAGTACATTCTAATGTTCTAATTCTTACCCCCTCTTTATTTTTTTATTTCTGTCCCCAACACTCCCAGGAGTACTTTTTTTTTTTTTTACAAGCCAAAGCTGTATTTTAATTTGACATTTTCTCATTTCAAGTGTATTTCATCACACCAAAACACTCTCTGTTTATATATTTTGATATTTTTGATTTTCCCATTCTAATCATATTCCTTTGTCATTATGAAATTGTTATTGTTCTTTTACATTTTATTTTCTCTTTTCTCTTTCCTGAAGGAAAGCTCTAGGACCTTTTTTTAATCAT